AGTGGATCCTGCCAATGCAACATTCCCAAAGAGGGTGTACCTCTATACCTCCTTACATTTAATAAAGTTCAAAATTCCCCTAAAAGATAGGTATGATCATTCCCTCTCTCTTTTTGGAGGAACAATTAAAAACTCAATAGCCCAGAGTTAAATACTTACAGTAATGGGAGACTGTCCAAAGCCCACAGAATTCCTCACCTCCCTGCACTCCTTTCAATCTTGGGAGAGCTCATGCCTTGACCTTTCTTACTGCCTCTGGTTGCACCTTGACAGATGTACTAAGGTAGAAAGAGTTGAGTGTGGTGTGGTGTCAGGAGGGGTATAGTTTGGGAGAATGAGCACATTTCTGAGGCTGTCATGTAAGAGCAAGCCTCCATCCACTTCGAAGATGGAGAAAGAGAGAGAGGCTCATATCCTATGTCTTTGCCCAAGTATAGGGACAAGTGGGTACATCAAGCTTTAAATATTGGGTGGGCAGGACATGAATTTCAGGTTTCAGAGAGTTCTTCCAGATATGGATGGGGCCCTAGGTGATAAAAGCTTTTATTGACTTCTCAGTGACAATACTTTTGATGGTCCAAAATTAGGAGTACATCAGTCAGGATTCTTGGTCAAAACCCAACTCAAATTTGCTTAAAAAATCAAGAGTTTTGGTCATGTTTGACTAATTAGAACAAATTTTTAAAAAATGAACTTTGGCTCATGTTAAGAAAGTCTTAGAATTCACTGGGCTTCTGTCGTGGCTGGATCTGTGTTAGGGCCACATCTCTGGGAATCTCTCTCTAGCCATCTCTCGGCTCTTATTTCTTCTTTGTTGTCTTCATTCCTAGACTAGATCTTCTCCTCTAGTAGCTGTTGTGCTTGTCATCAAGTCCGGACTTTCTTCTCATAATATGATGACATGATGAAAAGAAAGAAGGCCCTTCTCCCAATAATTCCAGTAAAAGTCCCAATTTGATTCAGTTTGGGTCCAATCTCATCTATCCCCAGACAAATCACTGTGACCAGGAGAGTGGAGTGTTCTCATTGGCTAAATTGGGTCATGTCACCTGTGATTGGGATGACCTCACCTGAGTGACACAGACTGAGGTTATCATTTACCTGCCAAGTGGGATGAAGGGTGGCAAAACCAATAGAGTCATGAGAGGGCTTTTTCAGTCCTGCTGAGGAGCCGAAGAGGGAAGCCGACAAGAAGATTCTAGAGGGAGAACTGGCAAGCCCATGCCTTCCCAGCCATTCCTGGCTCTAGATACAGCCCTGACTCGCTCTTGAGTCTATGTGAAGCTCAGCTAAAACTCCATGGCAGTTCGAAAAGGGAGAAAAGAAACTGGAAGGAGGGGCTGGGGAGGGCAAATGGCAGCCAGATCTTCTGAGCCATCCTGGTGGCAAATGGCCCACATGTCAGAGTTGTGTGAGCCACCCCCCCTGCCTCCTGAGCAGCCGGATTGTGAGACATTTGCAAAGATGTTCACCCCATATAAAGAGTGTGCTGATCCATAATTATGTAAATTAGTTGGCAATTAGATAATGTCACTCACTTTCCCTCTCTTTGCTCGATTCCCACACAACAGATAAGTGTTTTGAGTTTCTGCACCAGTCGGGGGCCCTCCGTGGGGGCTCTGGGGCAAACCACCTGCACCCATGACTTCTTGCGCCCTTCTGTGGCTCAAGAGAGGGTGGAAGTTGGCTGAAAGGGTGAAGAAGGATCTCTGGCTCCCAGTGTCCCGTTTCTTGAGCCTGGCATGCCCCACTGGATGGCTAAAGAAGTCTGAAGAATGACTGTTGGGGAGTTGGCCGGAGACCTGTGGTAGTTAATGTAGGATCGTCTCAATCTTTTGGCCATATTGGAAGTTTCCCAGAAACTGTGGAAGTGCCCACAATCCAAGAAAGAAATTTAAAGTTTGGGGGGGGGGGTGGGGAATAATGTGGATAGACCATAGGGTGTCAAGTCTAGCTAGACCAGTTCAGATTCTCCCATTCCTGAAAACAGATCCACCGTCATCTGTGGGCAGGAGAGCTTGATTTTCCTGTCAGCCTTTTTGATCCCTCCTGAGGCAGGTTGGGGGAACACTTGTGTCTCCAAGGTTGGTCTGCGCTGGAGACGAAGAGAGAGAGTCTAAGCACCTGGGCAGGATTGAGTGGCCACCCCCAAAGCAGGCTGGGTAAATTCCCATGACCCTCTTCCATGGGGGAGTGTTCCTGGGCAGAGTATGGTTCTAAATTCATGGGTTTCCCCAGACCACTGAGTTTGTTCTTTGAGGTCATGGGGGCCCAGGATTGCTGTGGGTTCATGCAGAGGCCTCAGGGTTGCTGGTTCGCTTCTGTTTTACTGTTCATGACAAGCCCCTGTGACAAGCCCCTGGGGAAGCAGTTGCTTCCCCCAAGACTGCTCTCCGCCAAGCTGTCTGGTTCCAGAGCTGGGCTTTAGTGTATCTATAATATACTGGTCTCCTGCAATGTTGTGACACCCTTATGTCTTATTCTACAGTAGTGCCTGGAATGAACTTGAGCTCTGTGAACAATTGGAGAGAGTTTCCTCCTTCCTGGATTGCTGCCCTTTGACTTGGTTGGCGTATCTTGCCTAACACAATGATCCCATGCTTAGAGATGTCACCTCTCCTGATCTTTCCCTGTGAACCTGCCTTCCACTCACTCCACTCCAATAGCACCAGCCTCCTGGCTGTTCTTCAAATACACCAGCCGGTTCCAGATTCAACTTTTGGACTGGCTATGACTTCTGGAACATTCTTCCTAGATATTCATATGGTTAATTCCCATGCCCTCTTTCAGGTCTTTCCTTATACCTCACCTTCTTAAAGACCGTGTTTTGTGGTGTTTGCCTGTTTCCATGGTGTAAATCCCCCTAAGTAGTTGATCTCATGTTACCAAAGTGATATGAACCCCGTAAACTTTTCTGAACTCTTAGAAGTGGGATTTCATAAGCCCATAGGGGTTGGCACCAGCATGCTCCTGTGTTCATGTTCTAGTTAAGTATCCCTGTGCCACCAGAGATGCTTGTGACACAGGTACACTGCATGGATAAACCAGTCTACAGAACCAAGGCTTTCCTTATGATGGACTTAACCAGGCTTTTGTTGATGGGATTGGTTTGTTCCTGGGGAAGGGACAGCATCTTCTTCTTCAAAGCATGGGCAAATACCAGCTTTGTTGGTGTTATCATTATGAAACACTGCTGGAGACCAGGGTGAATTATCAAGCATGCCAAGTAATAACTTGGAAATCATACACACTGCTTTATCTGAACAGAAAACTCCCTACTTCTGCTTGGTGGGCCAGTGTCTGGCCCTCAGAAACCAAGTCACTAACAGCATCTGAGTACTGGTGCGTTTCTAATCCTTGTATCCTACACATCACATGCTCTAGGTCTGTGCATTTCTTGACTATTCAGTTGTTACCCATTCTTCAGTTTTCATAATTTCTTAAAGTATTTTGTTTTCATGTGGTACCCTCTCTCCACTGACATACACACACCCACCTACTCAGATATGCACTAACAACCTTCTTTCCATCCCTTGCCATTCCAGAAATTAAAAAAAGGAAGCCTAGCATTTACTGATCACCTACTATGCATAAAGTCTTTTGCTGGGATCGTCCCATATCTCCTCATTTAATCCTCCCTTCAATCATGAAAAGAGGCTGTAATCTTCTCCACTTTCAAATGTGAAAAATAGAATCTGAGATAAGTAAAGACATTTTYTCAAAGTTCTACACTGCAGGAACTAGAAATTAAACTCTTGCCTTTTACATTATTTAACCTCAAAGCACATTTTTTTCCCCTGTAAGAGCTTTTCTAATATTTAGAAACAGATGAGGCTTGTCATACTTACTGCTCACCTTCTAATTCATGGGCACTGATTTTTTGAAATACTTCTTTCAAAAATTTAAGGGCTGGAATCTATCTTAGGCCTACCCAAGCAGTGGATTGTCAAATTGAAAAAGTTAAAAAAAAAATCTTTTAAAAATGATGTATTTTAATAGGTGGATAAGTGAAAATTATGTGTATTTGAGTGTGTGAAATATTAGCACTTAGGAATAAATTTTGGCTATGTGACTCTGTGGTATGAATATTATAAAATGTGCTGRTATGGCTTTGGGGTTTAATACTACTTTGGCAGCCTAGTGCATCCTTCTGAGTGGGGCTGGGGTCCTGCCGGGGCTGGGGAAGACCCAGGCCCTCCTTGCTACAGGAGTCCCTGTCTCCTGGCCCTCACTCAGCTGGAAAATAGGATGCAGTCTTTTCCGACAACACATGTCCTAACCTGCCTCTCCTTCTCTCTTCTCCCCCTCCCCTTCTTCCATAGGTCTTTTCTCYGGAGTCCTGGGAGGTGGGTTATGGGCAGGCCTGCCCCTGGCTGGCACCATGTCGCCTGAGTCTGCTTGTGCCCTGCGCTGGGCCCGGCTCTGCCTGAGCACTCAGCTTCTCTCTGCTTCCCTTCCTGCGGCCCGCCACTGCTGAGGAGGTAGACCCTCAGGACTGCCCTAGGCCCGTTTCTACCTTTCGCCCAGCTCACGTTGCTGCCTGCTCCTCCTCCATCACGGCACCGCTGACCTCAGCCCTGTCCCGGGCCTCCCTGGCTGGGGCTTTCGGGGGTCCATTGGGAGGATCTCGTTGCTGAAGGCTTCCTCCTGCCCCGCGCCTTCTCCTCCTCAAATCAAGGCCTCCGGATCCACATGGATAGCTGAGATCTTGTCTTGGAGAAAGACACTCGTCCTCACCTTCCCCACCCAGTGCCATTCTCTCCTGCTGCCCTGTCTATTTTCCTGCCTCTTTACTGGATTTCTTGCTCGTGCCCATCTGGGACCGTCTTGTTCTCTTTCCTCCTGCTTCTCCCTCTTGATATTTGTGTGTGTGCCTCCTTCCTCCTGTGTGTCCTCTCTTCCCACTCTGTCTTGTCTGCCTCTCTCCCTTCCACCACCAAAGGGAGATCCTTCCCCGGTTCCTGGCCTGTGCTCCTYGGGGCTCTGTGCCCGCAGCCAGGATGAGCTTCACCCTCCACTCAGTTTTCTTCACCCTCAAGGCCAGCATCCTGCTGGGGTCCCTGCTGGGGCTCTGCTTGGGCCTGGAGTTCATGGGCCTCCCCAACCAGTGGGCCCGCTACCTCCGCTGGGACGCCAGCACGCGCAGTGATCTGAGCTTCCAGTTCAAGACCAACGTCTCCACGGGGCTGCTCCTCTACCTGGACGATGGTGGCGTCTGTGACTTCCTCTGCCTCTCCCTGGTGGATGGCCGCGTTCAGCTCCGCTTTAGCATGGACTGCGCTGAGACTGCCGTGCTGTCCAACAAGCAGGTGAACGACAGCAGCTGGCACTTCCTCATGGTGAGCCGCGACCGCCTGCGCACCGTGCTGGTGCTGGATGGCGAGGGCCAGTCTGGGGAGCTGCAGCCCCAGCGGCCGTACATGGATGTGGTCAGTGACTTGTTCCTTGGTGGAGTCCCCGCTGACATTCGGCCTTCTGCCCTGACCCTTGATGGAGTACAGGCCATGCCCGGCTTCAAGGGATTAATCATGGATCTCAAATATGGCAACTCAGAGCCTCGGCTTCTGGGGAGCCAGGGCGTCCAGATGGAAGCCGAGGGACCCTGTGGTGAGCGTCCCTGTGAAAATGGAGGGATCTGCTTCCTCCTGGACGGCCACCCCACCTGTGACTGTTCTACTACTGGCTATGGTGGCACGCTGTGCTCAGAAGGTAAGGTCCTCTCCCCTCTCCAATCTTGATAGAGACCCACCCACTGGATTGGGTGAGGGCCCAGGTGCATGATAGAAGTGAGCTCTATGTTCAAGCACATCTTAAGCTGCCTGTTAAAAGAGAATTGAGCCCTGAGGAGGTAGAGGAAATCCTTTGCTTGCTCTCAATGGAAAAATCTATCAGATCTCAGCTGGAGGAGAATCCTGGCCACTCAACCAGAGGCTGTGTACTCAACTCAAAGGGCTACATGGAGAAGACTGAAGAGTCCTCTCCAGCTTGGCTCCTTTTGCTGCAGCATGGTTGAGCAGGATCAACACTAAACAAGAAATTAGATAGAAATTGGCAAAGTGGCTGTCTCTGTCCTCATGCCCCTTGAAGACTTGGGTGCTTGGGGATAGATGGGAAATTCCCCATCTCTTCCTCCTTAGGACCCCCAGCATAAGGAATGCCTGTGCAGAGAATGAGGGCAGGTGGATGGCAGGGTCCTTGGGCAGCCCTGTTATAAACCCAACCCTTCTGTCACACCCTCAAGCTTGGGGGGGGCGGTTATCTAGAAGGTGGTGAAGCCCTTCTCCCTTCTTATTCTAATAATGAGGATTTTTCACATGAGGACTTTGGATGTGGTTGGTTCCCTTTCCTGTCCTATCCACATTCCAAGAACAGTGCCGACAGGATCCTGAGGTTGACTGGATCCTTGTTTAACCAAGCCCTGCAAGCTTCTCCAGCATAGTTTGGAGCACCCTTCAAGTTCAACTACCACTTCCCAGGGAGTAGGAGGTATGACGGTAGGCTGTACTTGCCTGGTGCACTAAATTCTTTTGGGAATCAGATCTGAGAGAAGTGGCCCAGACTTTAATTTGACAAATGCTCAAAATGCAAATTCCTAGACTCACCACCCACTTAGATTTAGGTAAGAGGGACCATCAAGGTGACCAAGTGTGTGGAAACTGATCAGACAGATATATGTCTGGGGAGACTAGGAGGCAAGAACTTGCCTTTCGCCTGTCCTTCCTGGGTTAAGCCTTGAATTCTTCTGGAGACGTTTTGTGTCGCCATCCGATGCTGGTCTCTTCGTGGAGGTGGCAGCATGTTCTAGGTCAGGCAGTGGTCCCCAACCTTGGTTGCACTTTAGGATCACCTGGGAGAATTTAAAAACATCCAGGCTCTACCTAGGCTCACTTAGACTCCCAGGGGGTAGAAATCCAAGCATCTATAAACTTTTATATCTTCCCATGACTCTAGTATGCAATCAAGGGTAAGAACCAGCTGGTACAAGGTACAGAGAGGTTGAGGGTGTGGTCAGGTGAGTGACTTGCTCCTAATTTTCAAGATCTCTTCATTCAGGTAAGGCCCCTCCACCCTGGGGTTTTTGATGAGGATTATGTTTACAAGGGTTTCTTAAACATTTCTGAAACAGCCCAAATCCTAAAGCAAGTTATGATTGACATGAATTTTAGCTACCAGTAGCTATTTAAAAATATTTTTTAAAAAATCAAAGTTTCTTCTGCAGGTGGTACATGCTGGATACTAGGACACATGGAGGTTTTCTTGGAAGCTGCGTTTGGAGGTCATGCCTGGGTTATTGCTGGAATGTTCCCTGAAGCTCACTTTTTTTTTCCCTGTACTTCTGGGTTGGGCATCATATCTCCCTTTCCAAGGGTGGGCTGTCCAAGAGGAAGATGCCAGACAGATACAGTGTCCTTCTAGGGCTTCTGTTCGCCCTTACTGAACTCATCAGGGTAAAGGTGGGCAAGAGGGGCAGAGAGAACCCCAATCCACAAAAATAACTTGGGGAATGTGATCATTGAGATGCTTTTCACAAGCAGGTGCCTTCTGGAGCTGACCAATGTTCTAGAGCTTCTTGTCTTTGGAAAAAGTTCTGCCTGAAGACGCTGACATGATCACTTGTTTTCTCATTTGCCCAAAGGATCTGTTTTGTCCTCAGAACGTGCATTGGAAGCTGGCATTCTTCCTTTCTAGGGACCAGGGTGTTTGCAAGTGTGTTGTTAACTTGCTGATTATCCCTGATTGCATTTTTTTGTGTGTGTGTTTAAAAAGAACTCATTTCCTCTGGGCAGGTTTGGATCAGCACTTTCCTGCAGAAAGAATCTCTATACTGTTGTATATGTATACAATTTGTCTTTTCTCTCTTATTTATTTTTGTATGTGTGTGTTTTCCAGTCTCCAGTGGAATTTCTTCAGAAGAGATCATGTGCAGTAATTGTTAAATAGCTGAATGCAATATGTGTATTTTAATAATTGTTCTTTCTACAAGGTTCAGATCACATCTTGGCCATGGATTGATAACTCTATTTGTTGAAGGCAAACACACAACATTAATTATTTGTTCTCCTGATGCATACATGGAATAAATAAACTGTTTAACAGTAACATTTGGCCAGCCTGGAATAGAACCGTGCAAAGGTTGAGGCAGGGATGGGAGGTGGGGGAAGAAACAGAATTTACTGTTGATAACTTGGAGCCTGATGATCCCAGTAATTGTCATAATAGTTAATCAATCACAAAAACGCATCACAGCTATTAGAAAATGCCCACTGCCTCCACACATAGTTAATTTTTAGAGGAAGCAAAAAATTTCACCTGTAAAATATTAAGGGCAAAATCATAGCAGCTGCTCGGTGTCAAGAAGTTCTGCATAAAACAAGACAAATAGCTGAAACAAATGCCTGCCMGTTTTCCCAAGGATAATGTGGTGAAGTGGGAAGTGAGATGGTAGCCATCCCTGTCCCCCTTAAATTGCACAAGGCAGAGAACTGAAACCGGAGGATGTATCCCCAGCAGTGAATCTTATGTATCAAGTACCTGATCATCCCAACTTGTGGGATGGACCCTGCCATTTGATGGTGTGAGGGCTTGCACCTGGAATGGAAGATTTTTCAATGGCTTGGTGCTTTGGCAGTTCCAAGAACAGGGAGGGCTGAGAGGGTTCTTGCCCCATCACACGGACATGGTCAGGACCTGTTGGAGTCACCCTTTATGGTTCATTAGCTAGTAACATGCCTGGGATGTTGCTGTGGCCTGTTTGGCTCTCCATGCCTTGATGGCTCCAAAATGTCCCCATGATGCACCCCAGGAAGAGTGCACAGAGGGACCCATCTCCTGTAGTGCTTTGGGCTATGCTGATTCCCCATTGGGAAGACACAAGATATTGCTGTGGGAGATCTGGGCCCAGGGTAAGAGCTAAAGGATGCAGTATGTTCCCTTTCATTAGGTGTGCAGTGGGCACACCTATTAGTCCTGGCCACCCACTGAATTCTGCACAGCTTCCTTGGGAAATCTTCATTCCAAGGCTCCCACCCCAATTAATAGTAACGCTGAACATTATGGCACATGATGGATAGGTCCCAGATTTTTACCTGACAAATAAAATACTTCGGTGTGCAACCAGTAGGGATCTTGGAGGACAGAAGTGTAGAAAAGTCAAAATGATTTTAAAAAATATGCATAACTGGTTTGGAATATAGTCAATCAACAGCACAGCATGTTCACCTGGCTTTTTGTTTAGCTTATTCCTGTCATGGTAGCCTCCAGGCTGGAGAAGGGGTAGCCTCAGCTCCTTCAGGGAACAGCCTCTTCATGGGAAAGGGTTTGCCATTAACTTGAATTGAGTTTGAATTAGATTATTTTTTTTAAAACATTCTTCGTTATGAATGTGCATGTATTGAATTTCTCAACACCCTTATGGTTGTGAAGCATTGATTCACTGCCAAGGTATATAAATTTCAGTACCAGTTTCCCTGAAGAGTCCATTTAACACAGAGTCAGGCTGTTGCAGGGAGAGAGTAGAGCCAGGGAACAAGGGAGAAGTCTCCATGAGTCCATCTCCACTCCTGATCCTCATGACACGGGCCTACCTGTGTCACATAGCATTTGTATGACCACAGTTTGGGATAAATTTAGTGAAGTGTCCTATTCCACTGGCAAAGACAAAGTGGGTTCCGTGTCTGCTGCCTTCTCCTCCTGACTTGGGTAGCTGCCCAGACCAGAAGCTGCTTGTCTTGAGTCTCAGCCATTGTTTTCAGTTGTCAGGATCCTGTGGTGAGGTACAGTGGAGGGTGGTGTCCATAGGGACCAGAGCCTTTTACCAGGGCACCATGGTGAGTTACCCACTAGTGACCCATCCCACATCCCTCTTGCTACCTGAAGCTGACATCCTACTGAGGTTGTTTGATGTCTTCATGCCTCTGTGCGGCCTTCAAAATGAACTTAAGTTACTTTTCTTTTTTTGAGAATGGAGTGACTCTTCCCCCCCGTCTCTCAAAGCCAGAATGAGGATGGGATGGCGTACACCCAGCAGAGACTGCTTACCCCTGAGCATTTGCTGAGGTCCAGAGACATCAGTTACCAGTTTTTGAGTTACCAGTGATGGCCCCAGTTGGGGGCACTTGAGTAAAAACAGCCATGTCCCCTCCTTCTCCCCATTGCACACCCTGCTGACATCGTCACATGGCATTGTTCCTAATCTGTGTCAGCTATGAATGGCCTTGGATGGATGGGGACCACAGGGGAGTGGTGAGTAATCAGAGGGGAAAGGAGAATTCCTTTCTGAATGCCTCTCCCTGGGATGGAGCAGGTAGCACAGAGGCAAGGTCTTAAAACGCACACAAAGGAGGGACCTGCTCCCCGCCTAGCCTAGCATTCAGACTCTAGATGGGATCAGCCCCGGCTCTCCACCAGCCCAGCCAGCCAGCAGGGGCTGTCGCTAAACGGAGCCTGAATAGGGGTCTGATTGCTCCTTTTTCCTCCTCCCCTCCTGATTACCAAGTGAGATTTCCTGGGTATGCTGTATGCTAAATGCTGAACAGCCGCCTGCCACTTGCTCCAATTATCCCTCTTTTAACTGCTGAGGGAAGAACAATTTTTCTAATCTCCCCCCTCCTATAACATCTCTGCCTTCTTTAAAGAAATAAGACCCTTCTTCCTTATTCTCCCTTCAGTGGGGCGAGCGCAGCCTCTTCCAGGACTGCACACCAGCTGTG